CTTACCAAAGCCCAGCAAAGAGAGTAGTGAAGTTCAGGAAATGTGTACTTCAAATCACATTGGCTTCTGAGACAAAAGCCGGTCAGAGGTACTGTTGAATGAAAAACTGAAACATTGTTGAATTAACTATTGAGTTGCTAGCCATGCCTCCTATAGCACACAGATCAGATCATAAACAATACCACATTAAGAGCACTAATGTTGTAAGCAAACCAGGCAGAAGTCGGGAATTGTCAAAGGTAAGGTTACAAGTGCAACTTTATTTATCTTCTTAGTGGGTAGGGCTTTTGCCCTGAAATCCGATGTTGTTTCTGCAGCCCCTTGCCTGATTCAAGTATCAGAGGGGTAGCCGTGTTAGTCTGAATCTGTAAAAAGCAACAGAGGGTCCTGTGGCACCTTTAAGACTAAGTCTTAAAGGTGCCACAGGACCCTCTGTTGCTTTTTGCCTGATTCAGTGCTCGCTGAATGAGGCAGCTGTTCGGTATTTATTTGTCAATCACCTCTTAGATCAGAAGAGAGAAGTTGCGCATGCTGTCAATCTCTCTGTCAGCCTTAAAGCAGATCTAAATGGATTGGAGCTGATCAGAAAGTTGGGATTTTGCAAAATGCTTTTTCTTGACCCAATCTTCTCCCCGCCCCTAAATCTTGGGCCTTCACAGTGTGGTGTCCTGCCCACCCGAAAGATGAAGCAACCTCCCTGAAATCCGCAGCCTGGGGTGTCTTATCACTGTTCTCACATGGAATTTGTGCCTAAAAGCAGGACAAACCTGTCTGGCTCCTGCAGTTATGGAACTTCACTGACATAAGCATAACTGGGCTACTGTATATTATAATCAAGTATCAGGGGGTAGCCGTGTTACTCTGTATCCACAAAAACAACAAGGAAGAAGTGAGGTTTTTTTACCTATGAAAGCTTATCACCAAATAAATCTGTTAGTATTTAAGGTGCCACCAGACTCCTTGTTGTATATTATAATGTGATTGTGCAGCCACATTAGTTAATGCATAATTGTCTTCCTTACTGGATATGCAGAACAACTCTCTTCCCCAGAATCAGCTTTATTGTTTATTTATTTATTAAATGTGTTTAACCACTAAAGGCTGTGAAGAAAACCTTCAAAATGTGACCCATGGGTAATGATGTAGTGCTACCTGTGCAAATCTTCTGAAACAACAGAGCTAAGAGGTGGGAACTGCCCCAATAATCTCAGTTTAGGGACATTAACTCTGAAGGCTAATGTTGGCATTAATGAGAGATAATGTTGGCATTTCAAGTATTTCACTGTAGATCATTTTATTAAAAAGGTTAAGCTAATATATTTGTCTGCCAGTTGCTGGAAGTGGCAGCAGATATTGCAGTGGGGAGCAATGTGACGACTGGTTGCTATTCAGCTTTGTTGGGGGTGGAAAACAAGGAATTCAGACTCTCCCCCCTCCAAATTTGGAGTGACCTCTACCCAGAAAGGGGAGGGAAAGAGGAGCTGCATCTACCTCTCCAGTACCAAGAAACTTCCATCCTCCGCCCGCATTACCCAGCAACCTCTACAAAGCAGTCCAGTGTGTTCAGTGCAAAAATCTGCAGCCGCTGACAATCTAGAGGCAATGTCCAACTGAACTTGAATTGCAAATTAAATTAGTATTGAGGGAGAAAGGGGTATTGGAGACTTAGCAAAGCAGTTAGGAGGAGAGGGCTTAGTGGAGCAAACGGTGGCATAATTCAGGGGTTTCTGCCACATAGGTTCCTACTGCATAATGTGCTGCATAGGACTTTGACTGTAACTTCATTGACAGCCAGACAGTCAGAATCCAGTAACACCCATCATGCTAGTCTAAAACCTTCTTGTGCTGTCACATGTCACTTAGGGCATAAACCACCATCCCTGTCTATCCTGGGCTGCTCTTTGCTTGTCCTCCATGTTGTTAAGTCCCTGAAGTTTTTCCTCTCTGTCCGACACCGGGATTCTCTCAGTCGACCTGTTTTGCACATTCCCTACCCAATGGCAGACGCTTTGGCTTCGTTCTTAACATGAGATATTTCCATCTTTTCTGGGTAACTTTAGAGATAAGGGGTTGTTGAACACTCTGATGGATCTCGACATTTGTTATAAATTCATTCAAGTGAATACCTAGTATTTGTATTTAATACCTAAGGCATTTGCTTTCTAAGGCACTGAGATGTCGGTACCTTTGGGAGGATTTCTAGCTTGCACATCTGTATGTTAAGATGGCAGCGACATTGGAGTTGAAGATTTGTAGTTTCGTCTTTAAGTGGTAGATTTTTGATGACCAAATCTTGTTTAAACTGGTGAAGTGCCAGGTTGTGACGTTATTTCTTCCTGGACATCCCCACTGGCTTGCATGTTACTGCCAAAACATGTGAACTCTTACCTTCCTTTGCCTTCTAATGTAACACGGGAGTTGGGAGTTGCTGGGGTTCTCATTAGATTTAAATCCGTCTTCCTTGCGCTGCTGGGCATTCTTTGTTTACATATTGGTGGAGCTGTCAGAAGAGCTATGTCGCCAGCAAAACCTAAATTTTCGAACATACTGTAGTTAAACCACATGAGGCTTGTATTGTATTCATCCACGCCTCTCGTCATGAAGTTAGTGGCAATGACAAACAGGAGAGGAGAGAGAATGCATCCTTGTTCGACACCAGTGTTTATATTAAACCATTTATTCAAGCTTTTCTCATAATTAAGACAAGAGGGTCTGGTTTGGGCATCTAGACTAGTTCCGAAACAACAGGCTATTGAAGCATTATGATCGAGCTTTTCAAATTAAAATTAATAGGAACTGGACACCCTTTGGTGGCTTTGAAAATCTCAGCCTCTGAGTCCTGTAGCAACTTGCAAAGGTTTTAGTTAGAACAATGACCGTGGGGGCTCTTTTATTCTGCACACCTGTTCTCTTGCTATGTTCAGAATCCTGCTGCTGACGTTAGAGCCCATAATACGGTTTACTGCCATTTACATTTTAAAGCCAGTGCAGCTATTGGGGAGGGAGCTGCAGTTTTGTTTGGTTTGCACATTATTTACACAATTGTTAATTCAGTTCCTATGGCAGCATCTTTCCTTCTAGGGGCAGACATGCATAGCTTAACCAGAGTAATAATATACCACAGCTGGGTCAAGGTGCCTGGCAATGATGCATGACATAGAAAGACCCAGACTTGCAGGGTGAGCTGGCAGTAGGGTGACCAGATGTCCCGATTTTATAGAGACAGTCCCGATTTTTGGGTCTTTTTCTTATATAGGCTCCTATTAGCCCCTACCCCGTCCCAATTTTTCACATTTGCTGTTTGGTAACCCTAGCTGGCAGTTAGGAAAAAATATCTTTTTCTTGCCAGCTGATCATACATGATCCAGAGTCTCAGAGCTCCAGTAAATAAGGAGCCCGACCGTACCCCTTTTCAGAATAACTTTTCAGAGCAAGACTGCACTTTGAAATTCCACGAGTGTTTCTCGGTGAAATAGCTTTGCTAGTAACAACAGCTCCACTGCTCAGTGGCCCAGGTAGCGAAGCCCAACTGAATCTTAATGTTTGATGGTACGAGCAGGAGTGGGGAGGACTGGCAATGAAAGGGTTCGCGCAGGCTGTTCTAGTGTATGGTGTTTCCGTTCCCCAGGCGGCTTTGCTCTATGGTGCTGTGTAAATGATACACCGGTCACAGGGCAGGCGTCCTGCAGTAGTTCTCGTGCAGCAGTTTTGCTGCACCAGTCGCTTTCTTTGGAATCATCTTTGCTTGGCTGAAATACAAAACCAGCCGAGCCAACAAGTGAATCTCTTAGCCCCTGATCCCCTCCTGCACTCCTATCTTAGCACAGAGCAGTTCCTCAGCAACCCCCTGGGAGGAGTTGGGGACTGGGTGACCACCTGATTGGTTGCTGACACAGGAAGAACTAAGGAACTGGGAAATGCCCTGCGCCGTTGTCAGCGCTAGGGCTGTGAATTGATAACGAAGGAAGCAAGTGTCAGGAGATGTATTCTACTGGTGATGCAGTTTCAATTGGTCTGGATAGAGGCTTCTTTATCCTCCCTCTGTGACCTTTCTCCGCTCCCTCAGCATCTCATAAATCTCCTTCAGAAATCATTTAATACCAGGGCAGAAATAAGTTGTGTACAGGCCTCTGTGAAGGTAGTTATCTGAGACCTGAGATGGCTTTCTAGGTCTCTTGGGTAAGATTAGTGGCAGTATCCATGTATTGGAGGCATTCTCTGTCTGAGGACTTTATCCTCAGCTCGCTCTCCGGGTCTTTTCTCTCTCTAACGTCTCTGGTCTCCTACCTGCTAGCTGCATGGGTGGGAAGGTGAGTGGTGATAACGGTGTGAGACTTGGAATTGAGGGATATTAAATACCTGGGTGGCCACAATAGGAGTTACTTGCCTCATGACCTTCGTACCACGTACATACCATCGCAATCAGGCCAAGTTCAAGTCCTTCAAGGTGCTCAGGGGCTAGGGCCCAGAGCATTTAAAAGAGCCTAAAGCTTCTGGATGAGGAGTGTGGGTGACACCGCCGCTGCTGTGGTACAATGGAGCTCTCTACCGCAAAGGTAAAGCTCATCTGTGCAGGAGATGGAGATTTTGCGGGGCCGGTCCCAGGCTGTGGAACAGACTCCCCCAGGAACTGAGGACCATCCCATACCTCCCAACCGTCCGCTCCAAGTGCCAGGTGCACTTCCCTGACTTGCCTTCCCTGATACCACCACAGAGTAGCGTGGACACTGCCAAAACAATTCCCAATGAATTTCACGTGACAGACATTAGTCACGTCACTTGATGGTGAGTGGAAGCTACTCAGATACTGTGTCAATGAGGGCAGGATAAGAACCTTGTCGAACAGACTAGAATGAACACGATGGGTTTCTAGCTCTCACTGACACAAAGTGCTAGCCCCGTACTCCATGTGTTAGCGGTTCCTTCTGCGCACCCCCACTGCCACCTCTGGAGTTCCTGGTGCATTTGAAATGTGGTTTTCCTTTCTCTCTCTCTGATAGCTGGGCTGTGTCTGAACTGCTGGAGCCTGCAGGAGCTGGTCAGCCGAGATGCAGGAAACTACCTCATCCTCCTGGAGAAAATCCTGCAGAAAACCGAAGAGGTAAGGCCCTGCCAGCGAGAATGAAGGATGCCCCAGCAGGGAGGAGGCTGAGAGCTTCTGCGAAGGGGGCAATGAGTGCTTTGTTGTCATTAGGGTGGAGACTGGCAGGGGGTCCTGCTCTGAAGTCTGTAAAGAAGCCTCTTCCCCCAGGTACTTTATAATTTGGATGCATGCATGAAGGGTTTTAGGCTAGGGTTATCTGAAATGCTAGGGTAACCCACTGGCAAGTATGTTACAAGATTCCCTCTGTGCCCAGTCTGCAGGGGATCTGAGTCTGTTACAGGCCACACAAGGGAGCCCTGGCTCTGTAGCTCCAGATGTAGCAGCTGGTGCTTTTAGAGCTGGATGGCCCAGGTTCAAGGTGGGGGCTGTTGTACTAGCATTGGGACTATTGCACTAGCATGGAGCTCCCTGCCATCACTTTGGAACCTGATCCAAATCCCACTGAAAACAATGGAAACATTCCAGTTGGATTTGAGTGGGTTTTGGGAAAGGCACTTTACTTATATCTTGTATCCTCTTCCCCCCCACTTTGTCTTTTTGTCTTTAACAGTAAGCTCCTCAAAACAGGGACTGTGTGTGTGTGTGTGTGTGAGAGAGAGAGAGTGCACACGCGCATGCATGTATAGCACCTAACACAATGGGGGCCCTGAGCCTGTTCTCTGTGTGTGTCACGGAATAGTCTAGTCTCCTGTAAGATTTTGGTCAGATTTCAGTTGTTGGGCATAGTGTGCAGGTGCATGTGGTGTTGATGGCCTGCAGTATACAGGAGATCGGAGTAGGTGGTCTGGTAGGGTTACCATATTTCAGCAAGCAAAAAAGAGGACGGGAGGAGCCCCGCCCTAGCCCCTCCCACTTCCCGCCCCCCTCAGAACCCCCAACCCTCCCCCCGTTCCTTGTCCCCTGACTGCCCCCTCCTGGGACCCCTGCCCCTAACTGCCCCCCAGGACTCCACCCCCTACCTAAGCCTCCCTGCCTCTTGTCCCCTGACTGCCCCCTCCTGAGACCCTCCCCCCATCCTAACTGGCCCCCTAGGACTCTACCCCCTACCTGTACCCTGACTGCCCCAACCCTTATCCACACCCCCACCCCCAGACAGACCCCTGGGA